TGGCTCTGGCTTGTGATTGGTCAATAAAGCCTGTTCTGTTGTACCAGTCTTTTACCTATTAGGGCTCGGGTATTCTACATAAGCGACGTTTGAGGGCGCAGGCATATTGGACCAAGGTGGCCTCAACGAATCTTCTGTCTCCGCAATCCAATGGCATGCGAGGAATATATGAAGACACGAATGAGGAGCAGTATATAATTAGCGGCGTAGCCAACGTGGCGGACTCAGATAAACGGCGCCTAAAGTTTGGTTCTTGCTAGTGATTATTCAATTAAGCTTTTCTGTTAAGCCAGTTTTTCTTATGCTAGGGCTCATTGAATTTAAATTTCAGTAGCTTATCAAGCCGCGCGCCTTACAGCAGCAGGGGAACAATTTTTGTAATGGAAAAATTTAAATGTGACTCTTTAAAGTGTTTACAAAATACATTTTTCGACTTTTGATCCCGAATACTCCTCGCCCAGTTATAACATTATATTATCATTTTTCAACTTTATTACTTTAAACAAGTAAAGCAAAATGCGTTTAACTGAGTCAACGTGGCCTTATTTAAGTGCTTAACGCAATTGCTAAAAATATAACTCACGCCATTCTACCCACACACGCCGATCTGGCCTAGTCTTTGTCCTCCCCTCTCTGCGCTCTCACCATCCTCAAGGCACGCCCGTGAGTCCGAGGGCAACGCCGACCCCCTCGCGGCCATCCTTTTCCCCGCTCGCTCGGCGTTACACAAATATCAAACTTGACTACCTGGTGTGAACGAACGGGGAAATACGGATCGGTTCTTTTAAATACCTCACATTTTTTTACAAGTAACGCTTACGGACAAACACAATTGTTAGAAAACTGTCCTGTAATGAAATGTAGTGGAAATAATGCATTGAGATTTAGTTTTGGAAAATGTACATCTGTCCGTTTGTATTTACGTAATTTGAATAAATCAAATTGCCAAAATGCTCTCCGACGGCGATTTTCAAAGTAGCTATATGCGACGCGCACCATTCGGCCCACGCACGCTGGTCTGAACTGTTCTTTGTCCTCCTCTCCCCTTCCTTTAGGCACGCCCGTGAGCCCGAAAGCAACACCAAACACCCTTGCGGCCATCCCTTTCCCCACTCCAACTCTCCCTAAACTTTAGCCCCCTGAGTTTGTACGCGGTAGTATGGAATCCATCCGGTTCTTCCAGCTATTCATCCATCGTGTGCCTGGTAGCTAACCATGATGGTGTGGCTATCTAAGAGGGACGGGCTAACAGTCATCTCCCTATTTAGTTTAAGGCAGGATCAAGGTCTCGAAATTTTACAAAAAAGAGCTCTAAAATGTCAAAAAGAGCAATGTTTTTGCGTCCACTATAATGTAAGCGAATAATTCAAAGATGTGCTACTTAAAACGGGATATTACCATTTGGAAAAACAGTTTACTAAAGATATCGAAACAGCAGAAAATACTTTATCAAGCAACAATTATATCATTTCCTAAAGCCATGATATACCTTGTACTACAGCAACTGCTCATATGCCCAACGAATACCGCAGTGAGTTTACATTATTTAGGTCTAATAAATCCGAAATATTCATGAATTGAATAAATTATATGATAATTTTCAACCAAAATAAAAAGCAACTTGAAAACATTTTTGAGGCTTAATTAAGGTATTTTTCACGAACGTACTATCCACGACACTAGCATCAACTAAACTTTGAACGACTACGAGTGCTTACCCTGTGTGGAACCAATGGTACTGCTCAGGGATTTAATCGGAATCTTGAACACGAAACTATCAAATTGGATTGTGACTGGGGCTTTTTCAGTTCTAAATCACCTGTCTTTTAGTTATTACGCAACGCTATAAACTAATTGCCACTTTCTTCAGACACATTTAAAACACTTTTTCGACTATTGAAAAAGTTGATTAGCTCAAACCATTTTCTAAGCGTGTGATTGTGTGTGTGTGTGAATGTGTGCGAAAAGTTACGGAAGATAGGGCTAATGTATGTCCATCCATTCTAAGAGAAAATTTTACGAGGTTCATCTCACTCTACAGGATTTTAGGTAAACAAGGCACAGTCATAGAAGCACGGAGGAGTAGATCAGCATCTTAAGTATCCGCAAATGGGTGGAAGCGAGAGTCCAAAATACAAAACTAAAGTATGTCAAGTTACTAAGGGGTGCGCTACAAATCCCAGCGCCGAAATCGTAAAAAAATCTTCAAAGAAAACATATTTGAGGAGTTAAAGGAAATCGGGACCTCTTTTTAGGTCACTACTGTCATCAACATGAGCCTGAGAGGCATCTTTTACTTCGCTAACACCCGAGAGGTGGCTAATGAACCGATCCACAGCCTGCTCATTATCACTCGCTACAGTTTCTTCATCGTCTTCCACTCCTCCATTTCCATGCAATACCATAGAGCGGAATTCCTCTTGTTTGCAACGAAGGAGAAGATGAGAAAGTTCTTGTTGCAATCTAAACTGCTCCTGAACACAAGAGGAAACTTCATTTGAAGTTTCACATCGACGATGCTCTTCATCAGCGAGGCGACGTTCGGTCCTCTCCTTATCTTCGCGTGCCTCACGCAAGCTTCTGGAAAGGTTACGAGAATTCTGCCGCTCCTCCTGGACAGCCTCAAGTAACTTGTCGCGTTCGGCAATAATGTGCTCTAACTGGGTCTTTAAACGGTCGACAGTTGATTGAAGACGCAGCTTGGTTGAAGTTTCCAACTCGAGCCGGCCTTCCAACTCGTGAACTTTCGCCTTCAAGCAGACTAGCTCCATATCAACAGCCTAAAGTAAAATTGTCAATTTATGAAATTTAAAAAAAAAAGGTTCGAAATTCACACAGGAAATTCACAGGTTTACTGAGCCAAAATCGTCCATTTAGGAAAGCGAATATCGCCATCAGTTGGCGCTGCACATTAGGTTTGAAAACGTGACAGCTACACCTTAAATGAAACCATAAAAACACCAACCACTAACTTATGATGGCTTAATGTAAAAACAAACCCCGGATTTCTCGGTGGTGGCCGCAGCAATGCGTTCCTGTAAATCGGCGATCTCTTCACGCATGGCACTTCGTTCTTCAATTAGCTGGGTCACTTCGTTGGCGTAGGGGTTAAATCCGGGTGAAACTGAGTTCGCGAGAGCTGAACGGCGCTGCTTACGGGTCGCCTCCTCCAACTCTTCCTCCAGCTCTTCCACGCGGCACTGAAGGTCACTATTTTGACGCAGAGCAGTTTGACAGCGGAGTTCAGCCTGTCGAAAAACGTGAACAGAAGCTACTTCACACTGTCGCGACACAAACACACTCAGGGCACGTAAAAAAACGAAATTAGAAACAAGAAGGGAAGACTTAGTCACCATTCCTAATTTTTTTCTTTGTTTTATTTAAATTCGAAATACAAGACTTGCCTTGAAGCTTACAACACACACAGACAACAAGCCAAATCAATCCCGTTTCAGATATTAAGTTCATATTGCCGGCAAATCCGGCACTACATGGCGTTAAAATAACGTGTCCAAGCATACTTGGCGGCCATCTAAGCCATTTACCTCATGACGGCTGCACGGCCACACCAACTTAAGTGCATGCACAGAGCTGCTCTCTGCGGGTCACTGAGCAAGTCATCCTCATTCTGGATTACCTACAAGCGTCTTAGTGAATGCCGCCCCTATTCTTGTTTCGTTTTCTTCCTAAGCAAGGCCATTCGATGACTAACTCCGGCCTAAATCCCATCGTTTCCATGTTTTTTCTACCGTTTACCTAACTGCTCCGTAGCACGTCTTCTACCTCACCTGCTCCACCCCTTTCATACTCCTACTTCAGCAGATTACTTAGCATAAAACTGGCCGCACAACGAGTCTTTTCTCAAATTCTTCCTCTGCATCGCTTCCACCTCAGTTGCCGCAGTTTGCGTGAATTTGGGAACCCAACTATCGTCTTCACGTTCCTCACTTCTTCGCAGTAATTTTTAAGGAGTTGAATTTTCCCTCACAACGGTCAGTGACAAATCGTCATAACTCCGACGGGATTCTTAGTACCGGGGGCGCCATCAAGGCAATCGCACCTACTGACGATAACTAGATGTCAGCACCGATGGCGAATTCAAATAAAAGCTAACATTCCGTGTTTTTTTTAAATGGGCTGTCTTTAATTTCAACTACCGAACATAACTTTTTTTTCTATTCTTCACAACTACAGTAGCAGAAGCGTTAGGTAACTTGGGCAAAAATTGCATTGCAGTCATTTTCATTATGACAACTCTTTTGTTTGCATATTTCTTTTCGCATAAAATGTCAGACGGGATTCTAATGTAATTGGCGGGAGAATCCCATAACCAGAGTTATTTGCTTCTGCCCTGATATATCCAACGGGAAACCTGAAGGATTACCATTTTAGACTAGATGATTATTAGGTGTTTATGCAGCAGAAAGTTTTCGACGACTAGGGATCACATTTTTCATAACCATATCTGCAAATTTCATTCCTTTCAAACATTCCTGCTTCTACTTTCCTTCGTTTATAAAATGGCCAACTCTGATCATGCTGCAGTAATACGCAGCTATTGAAAACTCAAAGGCAAAGCCACAGCAAAAAACTTCACTTAAACATCAACGGCTGACGCAACTTACAGTACGTTTCTCACGTAGCTCCTTGTATAACTGTTGTTGACATTCCTCCAGATCTGCTGAGAGAACTCGTTGCCTGCGTAGGAGCGCCTCCTTGCTTTCCTCCAGTTCTTCTAACTAAAGACATAACAAGTTTAACTAGACAACGCTGGTTCCTAGCAAAGCTATTGAATTGTAAACTTATGACCAACTCACAAGGGAAGATACAGGATGACTATGACACTTAAAGCCGTAACTAAGCCTGGCACACTAAAATAGGACAATTACCTGAAATCTCAATTGCTTTACCAGTCCGCGGTCAACTGGCATTAGTGTGAGGAGTTGCTCCCACGGCAAATTATTGCTTGTTGAATTAAAGACGAAGTTGTAGGTATCTGACGATTCTATTGTGAATTACGGAAATAAGGACAGTGTTGGTTTAAAGTGCTAAAAAATATGCTTTAAATAAGATCGCAGCCAGCCTTACTGGGAAATCTCGACAACTAACTTCACCCCTCGGCGTACTCTCTAATGGAAACAGAACTACATTTAAAAACTTGGCAAGTGTCAGCCAACGAGAGAACAGCTCGAATGTTGGCGAATTTTGATTGATCCAAGTTAGGCTTTTGGAGATATAAGTTGGCATGCATTAGCACAAGACGCCCAAGTCATTGAATATCAGCAACGAGTTCCCGGAGGTTCACTTCAACACCTAGATTAATGATTGTTGTGCCTTTCGGAAATCAGGCGAAGCAGAGTAATGCCCAACATGAGGAAAAAAATTTACACCTCCCTAAACTTGTCTATCGCCCTACATTAAAATGGCCAAGTTTTGAGTAACTTTCTGAGGCCTAAGTTTAAGTTAAAGACTCCAGCCCTGGAACCAAAGTTAGGTAGTCTTAAAGCTATGGAACATAACGTCGAGCCTGCTCGAGAGGTCACACTCAGTAATTATTCAAAATCCCAACTTCCAAATGTTACATCAGTGGAATTACAAATCACGTCTGTTGTCGAGACAAGGTAGTTTTTCTAAACAACCATTCACAGTCAAAAAACCTACCATTTGTCGTGTGATTAATTCCAGCATCGGAATGTAAAGCAGAACTAGCAACGGAGATTGGTTGCTGAGAGCCATTCAAATTTTGATTTTTTTCGTTAATAGAAGGACTGGACGAATCAACGGGCGCCTTTTCAATTTTGCGGCTGCTTTTAGAATCACCATTGTTAAGATCGGAAGCCTCTGTAACTGTAATATCTTCTGAGACTGAATATCCTGGGGAAGCAACTACCTAGAATAGTAGAAAGATGGATACAAGCATGAGAGATTACTAATAAAAAGTAACGACGAAAAATTTATTATAAAAGTACTTAGAGAAATTCTATACAACAAAGCGCGAACCGATCTGAATACTTTTTTTCAAATCAGCGTTTTTCAAATTCAAATATAGATGCACAAAAATCAGGCGTTGAAGCTGTTATCCATCAAGGTCGATTTACCAGCACAATGGATGATAAGTTGTTTAAATACGGTGTGCTTTCACTAGAGTGTTTGCATCCATTCAGGCAGAGCAAATTAAACCGATTCCAGGTTAATCAAACCGGGTTAAGAAATAGACGGAAACTTAGGCATTCGTGTGTGACTTATGGCATGATCCGAACAAGTTGTGAGGAGAGGCAAACGCAATATTCGCACCCCGTTGTTTGCGACAGATTTCTGCAGCCGGGAAGTAAAAGCTGACTTGAGGTATATGAGGTCAGTGGCCAGACTGATTGCATGCAGTTGTGCACGCACAAGCGGCACACAGAAACGAGCGCTTGGATTGCGCAGGCAGACGAGCGCCGACGGCCCCGACACCTCGGCAGCAACGGCGCTGGCAATCGGTGTCGACGCGACCTGCCAGAGTCCGGCGCTCGCCACCGGCAAAAGACAATGCACCCAAAGGATGCTTTCTCGGGTAGCAGCAAAGTTTCTATTTGAAGCGCCAAGGGACGAAGTTCGCAGAATGTCTACTACATACTTCTAAAAAGTCAAACGTCTGTGAGTTAAATGTCGAACGCAATGCTAAGAAACTATTTATACTACATTCCTCGATAAGGACATCACAAAGCTGTATGCTTTTTTAAGAGTTACCTAAATTCAAAAGCAAACATATTGTACTGTTAAAAACAATGATAACCTTGGGCAGTTGTCTTAATAGGATATCAGAATTTCAGGACAAGTAATTACACTGCCGGGAGTGACAATGGGCACCGTATAGTAAATTTCGATTGGAAAAGTTTTGTTTGCAATAGGATCAAATCAGATAGAAAGTCTCCTGGCTGTAAAAAAACCCTATACACAGATATGCAACATACCGTGTCAAAAATGAAAGATTCCACAATTCCAGTAGAGGATGACACACTGAGCGCGGAGACAGAGGCGCTCTCGTCCATTGAATCTCCCACGCCTCGCAAAGCGGGTCTAAACAAATTGAAAACGAGAAAAGCATGCAACCACTGGCAATACCATTACTTGTTAATCCGAGAGCACAAGTAGCAGAGAGGTAGAGGTCTACAGAAGGCTAATCCAGTAACACGCAATACTGAGTTCTTGCATGAACTAATCAGTAGCGTCAATAAAGATTACAAAATACCAGACAAAAGAACAAGTGCACTCGAGTTCAAGGCACCAAAAAACCAACAATGATTTGTCTGAGTTATGAGAATGATCGTTCGCTGAACTTTAGTAAAGCAAGAGCACACTTTTTACAACAAAAAAAATAAGTGGCGTAAGACGCTGTCACGACGACTGACATCTAAACATAACGCCAGTGAAAGTTACCGAACCAGTTCTAAGACTGCCTGCTTTGTTGATTCACAAAGACAGAAAGTTTCGGTAGCATTTAGGCCAATAACTACCAAGTCCGTTGGCTTTAACTTACGACGAAGTCTAAGAAAACAAATTTCTAACTCTTGCACTTAACTGTCCGTATTGAAGTAGAGGAAGAAGGGCATGACTGACGCAGACGTCTGTTGCGATTTACACAAAGGTAACCTGAGCGTAAAGGCCACTGAACATTAGCAAACAGGTGTCCGTGAACGAACTACTAATTAAAAAATGGACTACTAAAAATTAATTGCTTACAAATGAAATCAACGTTTAAAATACAAGCGAGAAACGAGTGAATTCAACCTTAAGTAACCTTATGAAGATATGTCTTTTGGGGCTTCACTCGCTAATTCTGTGTTGGCAAGTGCTGCTTAGACATTGGCATAAGCCAGTGGTTTTGCATGCAAAGAACACAGCTCAGTACTAAAAAAATATAGGACACAATCGTCACAAAGAGGAAAACAGTGACAAGCCCCGGATCTCGTGAGTTCAAGCACACTCTTCAAGGGTTCCGTTTCCGGCAAATGGTGATATCCGGCGAGAAAAAACGATGGAGCGTTTTCAGACACCGATGTCCATTTAAACTAATTTTTGGCTATATACATTAATTTAAGCCTTGTTTTCATGGATGGGTATGGAGGGTGCGCGGGAGATTTGGTTTCTATCTACGTACAACGGCAACAAGTGTGTGTGTGTTTAATGTCCTGTCCGGCGCTAATGCAAAGTGTTCGACTAGTCGCCTAGCTACGCGTAACCACTACCAGTAAAATAGCAACTGCGCCCCAGCAACATGGTGCATCGAATGCGCATGCATGCAAAAATGCATCAAGGTCTGGCCGGGTGACAAACACTAAAGAACCATCGATTTTAACAGCATTTTTGAGAAAAGCGTAGAGAATTGGTTTAGAACAAAAATGTAAGATTTTAACCTCAAGATGCTTTCTAGAAAAGATCAGGCAGCCAAGATTTTCTGGAAAATTGGCTTTAAAATAGGGGTGAGCACGACTAAGCATCTGGCGAAAGTGCCGAACCAATGCGATGACCGCGAAACGACGCATGAAATTGGGTTACAAAATAATTTTGAACTGTTCAAACGCAGCACAGTTGACATCAATGATGCACGATATAAAATGCACGTTTTGAGCTTCCGGATAGGGCATTAGGCTACCCAACGTGCAGCGTATAGCCGTGGCTTGGCACCTTCAAACCTATGCACTAATAAATGTTGTGTATAAGCAAACCAGTTATAAATCAATTCGAGTTTTCATAGTTAAAATTGAGACATATACGACTCGAATGCATACGCATCTCCAAGAAAGCTCTTGCGTGTACACTTTAGGATGGTTGCGAACAGGAACGAAGGAGTTACATCGCTTTAGATGAGGTGAGTATACTTTGGATTTTAACATTCCCATTTCTGTTGCATAACACATGTTTAGTTTGGCGGAGGAGCAGTGGATGTCAGCTACGAAAAGAAATAGGTTGAGGGTCCGGATTCAGTCATGCAGACAGTTTGGTTGGCTTCTCCAATGATTTAAAAGACACCGCAAGAAAAGCAGCCGCAAAGGCTTACAATCTTGACCGCTGCAGAAGTTCAATGGCATTGCGCGGGCTATTCAAGTAGTGACAGCTGGACAGCCAAGTTGAGGGATGATATTGAACCACTGCTGTCGCGTTCCAATGGTTCAATGAAAAGGCTCCAGATCTGTGTAGGCGTCTCATGAGGCGAGAGTCTAGATAAAAAGTTACGATTTGTGAGTGCCATTAAAAACCAAAATATTTCAAGATGGGAAGCTCGCGACCCAGCAATGAACGAACTCCCAAAAAGTAATTTTATGTACCAGTCTACAAAGAACATCTTTAGCAGACACGGAGACACTCTTCGGAGAATGACCAATGAGAGCCTATTTGTGCGAATGAGGTCTGGAAACACCTGCATTAAGTCTAGAAGAACATCAGAAAACGAATAACGAAAGTAGTCTTACTTTGCCCTGCAAGGTATAGTCTGATTAATTAGGATACATGCAGAGGGTTCTGAGTTAGTGGTCTTTAAAGTTGCAAAAAGTACTAAGCAGGCGGTAAAGTAAATTCAGCAATGACATTTGGTTTGCAATACTTGTGCATCATTCTTTATAAAAAGTATAAACAAAGAGACGTAGGGTTATTTAAAAAAAACGAACATACACCAATTATCTTTTCCTTTACAACGAAAAAAATTGGAATTGTAAGCTAGAAAGTATATCGAAACACTTTCTCAAAAAATTTCGTTTTTAAATTGTAATTAGGCCCTACAAATTGTTCCCAAATTTCCATGCATTTCTACACATTAACAGTTTATTGAAAGCGAAATATGTATTTTGTTTTAAGGATTTTTATATGATGTAACAAAATTTGTGCATAGAAAATGACCACGTTTTAAAAAAATGTTTTGACCGGAGGATACACAATGTGGTGGAACGTGTCAGCGAACAAGAGTAGTCTAAACGCGCGCCCAAAGGAGCTACATTAGCTGCTTGGAAAGGCACCAGTGCTGATTTGCCCACTAGGTGATTATTACTAAATTGACCTTATAAGTATACGCATTGTGTG